ACACACACACACACACACACACACACACACACACACACACACACACACCCCTCACTTTCTCTTTCTGAAAGTCTGTCTTTTTCTTGCTCTCCTACCTAGTTATTCATTCTCGTTCTTGAGCTCCTTCTGCATACCCACATATATGTTCACATATTCTCTCATTCCTCATTCATCCTTCTTCCTCTCATAGCCAAACTCTGCACAATTATATGTTACATTTTCAGGGTCTGACCCATTTTCATAACACATGATAAGTCACATAGTTTTTCTCAGGCTAAGAAGGTCACACTGACTGGCCAGTGGGTAACACTTGGCCAAGCATGTAGCATGAATGGTTAGTGTTCCCAGACATAGAATGAGATTGAAGTTCAGGACTTAACAATAACAGTAGTTGACTAAACCTTGAATGGTTGTAGTACATGCAGAAAGAGAATTATTGCAGGGGGTTATGTCTACCAATGTTGATTCAGTTCTGATCTTGATTTAGCAATTAACAAATGGAATTAATGTCTGTGTGTTCTCTGCAAGGGCAGTTAGTCTGGTTTGAATTTGTTCTGAAATCTAAAATTAGCTGTCTTTTGTGACTGAGAATACTGTTACTATCATGTGTTGGTCATGAAAAATATTCTAGTACAATTTTTATTCATCAGAATTATACAGCTTTAATAGAAATCATCTTTCTGACCTATAAGTGTTCCCAAAGATGGGGTTTTTTATGAGATAAACACTTAAGCAGTAGGGAAAATACCCATAGCTGTTATTAGGGAATAAATGAAGTGGCACATGAGAAAAACTACAGACAGAAATAACCAGTCATTTACAGTCAAGGTCTCCATGGCATTTCCAGATGGGGCTCCCCATCAGGTAGGGCTGGTGATTCGACCTGTTAAATACTAGTTGTCATTCACTGTATATTCCCATGGCCTCCTACAAGGAGGCTTCAATCCTAGATAAGAACTACAGTCTGTGACCACCATTTTAATCTGTCTCTGTGCAGTTTTTATAATAGCTGTTGCTCCCCTGCCACACACACCTTTGTTCTCAATCTCTGTTACTTTCAGAGAAGGACTCACATTGCCCTCAGGAAGCTGGTCCATGTTTGCAGTAGTGGAACACCCCAAAGAAAAAAAATACCTCTAACAATTTAGAGAACCCCTGAGAAGAATGGTGCAATTGAAATACCTGCTTGTTTATGCATTTAGGGTTTTAAAAATGGCACAGTCAATAAAAATGTGGGCCACATTTTAGTAGAGGAAAGAAGCCTATACTGACAACATAAAATGCAGAAAAACATAGGTGGAGATACTCAGAAAGGCCAAGCATGGGTGTCTCACAGACATACGCCCTCTGTTCCTGCAGAATTAGAGAACTGAGGCTCTTGACATGAGGGGAAAAGATCCTCATGTTAGCCAAAGAAGCAACACTATGTTTTGTAGGGAATTAAGTGAAGAACCTAGAGTGTGTCCTGAGGGAACTCCCCATCCCAATACACTCAGGAGGTTAACAGCCTGCCCCTTTCATCAGTCCTTGGAGGTACATGTAGTGCTAGTGTGTTAACTACTATCAGACAAGTCTTAAGAGTAATGAGATTCTTAGGGTGAATGGAGGGTCCTTTAGCCAGATAAATTCTCGGAGTATGGTCAGAAATCAGATAAGGACTCCATGGGAGGAATCAGAGTACTTCTCCTCTGCTAAGAGCCTAGATTTTCTGTGCAGTAGTAATGGGTCAGGCCCCCATTTACTCCCATGCAATGAGGCTGTAGCTGAAATAGTGGTAAGGATTTTGGTCAGAGGACATGGCCTAACTATTTCTACAAGGAAGTTCAAGTCATTTTTGAGGAGAACACATACAACAGAGTATATCACAGGGGGAGATTTGGCAAGTGGTAGAGGAGAGAGGTTCAGGATTTCCAAGAACTTGCTTAAAGATTCTCAGTGGAAACTGAAAGGGCCCCAACAACTCTAAGGAGCTAGAAGGCATGAGTGCTAGCCTGATGTATTCAGCCAAGCCCAGCAGAGGCAGGAATGATAGGCTGTAAGTCTAGACTTAATCTGCTTCTTCCTTAGGGAACAGGCAGTTGAGAACAGAAGGCCAGTAGATTCCTAAAATTGGTGCTCTCATGGAAACATGCAGAGGCTAACTTAGATAAACAAAGGGTGGATTCCCCTGGATGAAAGTCCTCACATAATTTCATTCTCTCCTTAGCAGGTGTCTGCATCACCAGCATCCTGCCCACACTTCTTGCTGTTGTCCCTAGCCAGAGTCATCATGCCTCGTGGTCATAAGAATAAGCGCCATGCACGGAAGAAACGCCACCAGACCCGAGGTGAGGCTCAGGCTTGTAAAGGTGTTCAGGAAACAGTAGAGGAAATACCAGAGGCAGCAGAAAAGTCCTCTGCTGCTTCCCAGAGCCAGCCTGGGGCTGATTCCTCCAGCACTCCTGAGGCTCCTGAGAGAGCAACACCATCTGCCTCAAGCACTCTGAGTATTTCTTCCATTGAATCACATGAGAGTTCCTTTGAGGAAAGTGATGAATTCCAGGAAAAGGAATCCCCCGTTGAGGACCAGCCTTGTACCATCCGTCCTCACCAAGAAATGGTAGCAGGAAAGGTAATAGTGCTCTTACAGTACTTGCTTCACAACTACAATCTGAAGCAGTTTACTACTAAGGAAGACATGCTGAAGCTTCTCACCAAGAAGTATGAAGACGACTTTCCTGAGATCTTTAGGAAAGCCTCTCAGAAGCTCGAAGATGCCTTTGCAATGGAAGTGAGGGAAGTCAACTCCAGTAATCCCACATACAACCTCATCAGCAAGCTGAAGCTCCCCAACAATGGGAGGATTCGTGCTGGCAAAGGCTTTCCCAAGACTGCTTTTGTGATGTGTGTCCTAGGTATCATCCTCGTTAAGGGCAATTGTGCCAGTGAAGAAGAGATCTGGCAGATCCTGAAGACGAAGCGAATCTATCCTGGGAAGAAGCACTGCATCTTTGGTGAGCCCCGGAAGCTCCTGACCCATTATTTGGTGAAGCTGAATTACCTGGAGTATAGGCAGGTGGCTGGCAGTGATCCTCCACGCTATGAGTTCCTTTGGGGTCCCAAAGCCTATGCTGAAACAAGCAAGGTGAAAGTCCTGGAATATTTGGCCAAGACAAACCAAACAACACCTGGTGCCATCTCTGCCCTTTATGAAGAGGTTTTGAAAGGTGATCGGGAACAAACAGAAGCCAGAGATGAAGATAACTGATGCCACTGATGAAACTAGTGAAGATTCTTCAGCAAAATTACCAGCGAATTCCACTGTCCCTGTTGACCCCTAAAGTTTTCCTGTCATTGAGATAAGGACATAAAGCATGAAAAAAAAGGTTTTCTTGAAAATATGAAATAATTCTACAGTTAGAAGGATTAAAAGATGTTCAAATCTAGTTTTCATTTTTTTTTTTACTATGTCGTTTGGTAAAGTTACATGCAATTAAATGTTATTCTTTGCTTATGAAATAAAGTTGAAGAAATTAAATGTTTATGACTCAAATTTTTTTCTTCTTACCTGCTATTCACCAAAACTTCCTTTAGCACACTGGTCAAACTGGGATGCTAAGTTAAATCATTTGCTTCTACTTTTAGAATTTTTAAATCTAAGAACTGCAGCTCAATCACTATATTTAATTACTTTTTTATTAGTTAAGGTAGATTGAAAATAGGAGTTTTTTTATGAAAGCTATTAAGTGGAAATATAGTGTATAAAGGACATGGGATATTAGGGGAAGATGAAATAACATAACAGTGTGGGGAATACATGGGCTGCAATGATGGTGCCAAGAGGAAGTTGGACAGATGGAGCCCAAGTTGTTTATGCTGAGATTAGATACAAAACTCAGATAGGATGATATCAGTACATAAACAGCTCGTAGATAAAGGAACAAATAGAGGGTGAGTTTTAAAATGATTGGTTGGTATCTTTCACTCCCTCCTAGGATTCTGAGGTTTTCTGCTATAAAAGATGCTTACTGCCTAATAATAAATGATTTCCTGCTTGACATGACTTCCTGCTGCATCTGATTGTCTCTGGGCAAGAGGAAGGCTGGGAAACGGGTAAGTGGCGCACTTACCTTTCCTGGGTTGTGACCACCTCCTCAGAAGTGATCTTAGTTCAGGATGGGGTAAAGCCCTACAGCTGGCGCTCCTATGTGGGGCTTGAAAGTACATTCGGCCAAGGCCAAGTTGTCTTCCAGGGTAAGTGAAACCCTCAGTATGGATAAAGCAATTTTTCCAAAAGATTCCCAAGAGCAAGGGAGGCTAAAGAAGGCAAAGAGGAACAGGAGGGTGAAGGGACCAAGTTTGACATGAAAGTGAAAGTCACCCCCTCCATGCCTTGTGAGCCATGCACCCAAAGGAGCAGGGCCCCTTGCTTTATATCCCTGAAATGGGAATGTTCTTCACCATATACTACCCTTAGAAGGGACCTAGGTGACTGGGGTACCTATGACCTGCCATTAGCTGGGGATCAGGGAGCCAATGAACTGACTTTTGCAGAGGCCTATATTACCCAGAGAGGGCCCTAAGGGAGGCAAGGCACAGGGCCCCAAGAGCAGACCCCAGGCATTTACTGTTAATATGGTCCCTTCCCCTAATAGGCATAAGAATGGTACCTGTGGGAGGCCAAAGACCTTAAGGGACTCCACAAGGCAGTGGCAGAGGATGGTTCAAATGTCCCTTGGTCCCAGACCCTACTGCAGAATATTGCATATAATCACTGTGTCCCCAAGGATTGGCTGGACCTGGCTGAGGTTGTCCTTTCAAGCAGTCAATATATCAAATAGTGTGCCCATTAAAAGGAGGAATATAGAGTTTAAGCAGAGGCCAATCAAGCTGCTCAGCCCATGATCGAAATTACTTATGGCATGTTGGTGGGAACTGCTGAAGTGTACTCTACTAGGGTCCAGCAGGCCACAGTCCTGGCGCCATACCAAGACCAAGTGTGACAAATGTGCTAGCAGCCTGGGGTAAGCTAGATGAGGGACCTACAGAATCCCCCATAGCCAGAGTTGTAGCAGGATGCTTAAAAGTTCTTATTAATAAAATCAAACCCGAGGCCAGTTATTGGGGTCCATGCTGGTAGATCAGAGAGACAGAACAAGCCACAGCTATCTCACCTCGCCGGATCCTCAGCTGGTCTTGTCTCCTCAGACTGGAGGCCTCTGAGTCCTCATCCGGAATGGGTCTCAGCTGAATTACTGCTCAAAAGCCTGAATGCTTAACCAGCCAAAATCTAGTTTCTGGTCCTCACGCCTTATATTTCTTTTTGCTTTCTACCACCACACCCTGGGATTAAAGGCTGGCTTTCTGGGATTAAAGGTGTGTCACCATGCTTGGCTATTCCCAATGTGGCCTTGAACTCACAGAGATCCAGAGGGATTTCTATCTCTGGAATGCTAGGATTAAAGGTGTGAGTGCCACCATTTTCTAGCCTTTGTATCTAGTGGCTGTCTGTTCTCTGACCCCAGATAAATTTATTAGAGTACACAATATTTTGGGGAACACAATACCACCACACAGAGTCAGGCAGATGCCCATTGAGACCCTACCAGAGTTTATAGACCAGGTCCAACAGAGTATTAGTTGCAAACTACCAACTGGATACCTCTGGGACCAATTTATAAAGATTCTGGTCTGGGATGGAATGAGTTCAGAATACCATGCTGCCTACACAGGGCTGAAAGAGGCTTCCATGGGCTGATGGGTAGTTTCCACCCAAGATCTGGGCACCCAACATCACCAGACTCAGATGCTAGCCTTAACGTTGCAATCCCAGATGGCTGCCCTGACTGAGGCTTTCTCAAGGGCCCTGGCAACCCAGAGTCAGGGGATTGCAAAGCCTTCGACCTGGGGGCATGCTTTAGATGTGGACAGGAGGGACATTTTATACAAGAGTGTCCTCTGCAATAACCTCCTGCCATCCAACAAAAGTTTTTAAGTTGGCCAGGAGAAATAAAGCCCCCTACCAACCACTACCCTAGGTGCAGAAAGGAAAAAGGACTGCAGGTCAAAATCTAACGTAGATGGGAAACCTTTAAACTAGATAAGGGGGTGCCCTCCAGCCCCATTAGCCAAATGAGGAACTCCCCCTGGGGGGGAGGCATGGCCCCCCAGAGTGGCCCATGCCAACTGGACCATTCCTTTGGTCCTGGGACACCACTCCAAGATGAGTATTATCATAGGAGAAGATTCCACTTCCTGGTGGATACAGGGGCAGACAGGACCGTGCTCCACTGAGAGGAGGTGCCCCCTGACTGGGACCTGACTCCGAGACCCGAATATTGGGAGTGGGGGGTAATGCTCAATCTCTTGAAACAGTCGCTCTCTTTAAATGGACCAGCCCAGACGTGGAACAGGGCAAGATATGACCCCTGGTGGCTGAGAATATTACTGCCAACTTATTGGGACAGGATATGTTGTCTCAAATGGATGCAGTACTCACCACCATCCACTGAGCTTTCTATGATGATATTATGGAGGAAGAAGAGGCCCATGGAAGGGGATGGGGAGAAGAGGAGATAAAAGGAGAGGACTTCTTCACCCACTATAGAAATGACTTCAAAAAATCCACTCGGTTTTACCCCCAACCCTAGAGGCCACTGTCCCCCTGGTACCCCCTTTTAGGTGGAGGCCAGGTGACCCAGTATGTGTGGAACAGTGGCCACTTGTTAAACCTAAATTAGAGGTACTCCATGCTCTGGTTAAGGAACAATCAGACCTTCCTTGGACATGTGCACCCTTCCATAAGTCCCTGGAATACACCTGTCTTTGTTATTAAAAAAGCCTCAGGAGCCTGGCACATGTTACAGGCTCTCTGGAAAGTAAATTAGAGGATAGAGCTGGTAGGCACTCCCTTGAGGGGTCTGCCTTGGGTGCCAGCAATACCCTCAGAATATATACCCTGGTGGTGATTGATGTTAAGGACTGTTTCTTTTCTATCTTCCTCCATCCGGATAATTGTGCCAAGTTTGCCTTATCTATCCCCTCCTTCAATTTCTCCCAACTTGATCAGATATTTGAATGGATTGTATTACTTCAGGGAGTGGCTGATAGCCTGACCTTCTACCAACAATACCTGGCTATCCTGTTAGGATCCCTGCTACAGACAGATAAGACACTTACCTATGTTTACAGGTGCTTGAATGGCTGCAGAGAGGAGTGTTCACAGTGGCTCCTAACAAAGTCCAGAGGGTACCTCCCTTTAAGATTCTTGGCACCGAAATTATCCTGACCCAAGCCTGCCCACTTAAGCCTAAGCTAGACATTCCTGTGTCTTTGACCCTGATTCAGTTGCAGAGTATCCTGTGAGAGATCAATTGGATACTACCTTGGTTTCCCATCTCCAAAGATAGTCTTGTACCCTTATTCTCCCTATTAAAAAATAAGTAACCTCAAGATGTTATTGTTCTTACCTCAGAATACTGGACCAGCCTTTTACAATTTCAGAATGCTCTTAATAAAGTTTCCCTGAGGAGGTATTCTGCTGACCTTCTCATTTCCCTCTGGCTGTTCACAAGCACTATATTGATCTCTGCAGTGCTGGTTCAAAAAGGAGAGCCAATAGAATGAATCCATACCTCCCTGGGAGATACCCCAAAGGTATACTCCCAGGCTGACCAGGTTATTGATGCTATAATCAGAGATCAGTCGCAAGCCCAGAGACATTTTGGAATGGATCCTCAGTCTATCATCTTCCCCTCCCAGATGGTGGATGTTGAATGGCTTTCTAAAGCCAATGCCTGTCTCACCCTCTCCCTTGAAGGATTCCTGGGACTTCTTGATTGTCACTATGGACCCTCCCCATGGACAGTTATGCTTTGGAGGCTCCTGTTGAGGCTACCCCTATTGATTTTACCTGAGCCTATTCTAGATGCTCTTCATGTGTTTACAGATGGGGCCCAAACAGCTCGGCTTATGCTGCTTTCAGGGACAATCAGGACTCTCAGAGCCTACAGGAATTCTGACCCTGTCAGGTATAAGCACAATATAAGGAAATGCTTGCAGTTATTATGGCCCTCCAGAGTATCCAGGAACCTTTCAATTTGTGTTCTGATAGCCTGTATGTAGTAAATCTAGTACCTCATTTATCCAAGGCCCATATTCACCTGGACACTAATTCCATTTCCCCGCTAATGGTGACCCTTAGAGGGTTACTGGAGGGAAGAAAGTATCCTATCTATATTCAGCATATGAGGGGACCTTCTAAGCTCTTGCAATTTCTGGCTATGGAAAATGACTGGGTGGATCCTCTGGCCTTGGGTGCCCAAATATCAACATTACAAGAGGCCACTCGCCTACATGGCCTGACTCAACTGGAGCGGTCTACAACATAGATTTCCTCATATTCCTATAAGGGACCTTAAAAAGATAGTTCATACCTGCAAGGCCGGCCAGCCCTTTCTATGAGTACCCTCCCCCCCCAAAAAAAAAAAAAAAAAACACCACCAGGAGTCAATTCTAGGTCCTGGGAC